TCCCTCGCAGGTGCAGTGCTCACCGACCCCTACTTCATATTTACACTTCGCGATAGGGTCAAAATACTGGCTTTGTTTGCCGATACTTCAATTCAAAGTAATTGGACTTTCAAGAATGAAGCGGGTCAAGTAGACATACTGGCACTGTTTCTAAACAAGGGCCACGAATTCGGGGGGCATTTCTGAAGTAACTCGCGTTATTCCGTTGGCATGAAGTCTGAAGTGGGGATCTGCGAGCAAAGTTTCCCCGGGGAATTCGAGAAATGCCGTGCGGGGATTTTGTTGACAGCGACATACAATTGTATCGCACATACAAGAGATTAAGAGATAATCTGGTTGACACTAACCCTTGTTCGTTTAGAAATTGATAAAGTTTATTGCTCACACCTGGAGGGTACGGTGCGTGGGCCACTTGTGCAATACCAGATGTGGGCAAAAATACTCCCTGGGAGGGCTATAGTAGAGGTTTGGGTTTTGGGCTATTTTTGGTGTGTTTCTAGGCTTTTTTTTTATCGGTGTTTCTTAATTGCACTGGACTTTTTTTCACCCCATTTTGGGGTGAAAATTACGATTAAAAAAGCCTAAAAACACTACGATAAAAAAAAGCCTAAAAACACGCCAAAAATAAGCCATGTCAGTAGGGGTGGGAGGGATTTTTGTATTTCCAGTCCTTTAGGAAAAGGGAATAAGAGATTTTGTGCCAAGTCCTGTTGCGACAGTTCCTTGGGAGTTATATCAGGATAACGTATGAAAGAAAATCGGCATTTGCTAAAATTGGAATCTTTCATATAATGGCCAAGAAAAATTTTAAAAAAATCTTAGAATTAAAACTATTATTTCCCGAAAGCGTCTATTTTTGCACTGACATATTAAAACAAAGGTAGTCATTTTCTATTTATGTTCCTGGTTTGTTTTCATTTCGGAAGCCAGCTCTGTCTTGGAGAGAGAATAGAAAGGAAAGAAAATATGGTGAATGAGTGACTTCAGAAATTTCTTAAGAATCTTCAGAATATATGTTGGACTATTGTTTTAACCGGTCAAGTGCAAACGGATAACCAGGGTCAGATGTTAACACACACATCTCTCTTCTCCCATCTATACATGCGCTCTTGGCCGTCCGTCCTTACACTGTCGTGCAAATGTCGGGACAAATTCGTGCCTTTGATATGCCCCGAACCGCCCCTCAGTACGACATATGTCGGCACAACTTCACATGTCCATGCGGAGCGTGGTTGACAAAGCGCTGGACGTGTTCATGCATTATTACAAGGTGCGAGGCGGGTCGTCCCTTTGTTCTATCTTGTCCCTGCCTTCTTTCTATGGATTGTTCTACGTATGCGCTTTATACCCACAGGTCTCTCCCGTGAATAGGTGTAGATGTCCTCTCTAGAGACATTTAACTTGATACTAGTATTGACATCTCTGGCTAGTTTCCCAAGGGAGCATCTTCATACACGCTTCATGTTCTAATCAATTAGCAGTGTCTAATTAAGTCCCCCACTGCCTTCCGTGTGCGCAGCTTCCTCGCTAATCGACTGTATATAAAAGAAGTTGTTTTTCACGATGAATCCCTGGGATAACCTTACAGGCTAACGACGTGCGGAGTTCGGGGGCCTTGATGACGTTTGCACACTTCTTTGTATATGATTGACGTTTGTTTGACCTCGTTCGCACCTTGCTAGCGGGTCCGCGGTGACGACAAACAAGCGTGGCCGCTGGTGGGTTTACCAACAACAGATGGGGACTGGCAGGATGGGGA